TAATTTGGTGATGATCTGCAGTGAAACTGGAAAATGGTGAATGCACTTCTATTGGAGCTTTTGGACCTCTCAGTTGCTTTCAAAATGATCAACAAGACACCCTCCTAGATTATCTGATGGAACTGGGCCTTATACACCAGCTTTTACTGTAGTTCCAGCATTTCATATAAAGCAATATCCAGAATGTGGTGGTTGGGAACTTCTACTTAATATTAAAGCTTTGATCGAAACTATCCCATAGATTTCCTTTTGCCCTCCCTACAATGTAACATCTACATGAAATTGCAGGGGTGATCCTTCAAAGCACAGTAGCAGGGTGTTACCCAGACTGATGAACCCAGTTCTAGTGCTTATTAGCATCCAGATATTTTGGATACCTTTGAGTCTCGCTTAAGCCTGATAATGGATTGGATGAAGGAGAACAAGCTGAAACCTATGTAATATTAATGTGTTACTGATAAATAGGTAACTCAACTCAGTGACAGAGGTATTTTGTACAGGGTTGTACTCCTCCAGAAAGAGAAGTTCCATAGTTTGTGAGTGTTCCTTAATCCTTAGATATACTGAATTCAAAGAGGGCAGCTATGGCAAGAAGTATATTTGCGCAACTGTGGCTAATTCCAATGCATTAATAATTATTCTAAGCAAGCAGAATTTAATGAGAATGGCTATGCTGATTACATCTGGCTCTTGCAACTTATTGTACATGGGCTACTTTAAAGAGTGTCTAGCAACTACAGTACAACTAGTATAAAATGTTGTTTAAAAAGTTTAAATATATATGGTTTTATTTATATCAGGAACTACTTTTCCTTATATGAATTTGTTAAAATGGATAGAAGAGTCCCTTTTGAAGGTGCCCTTGCTCTCAGAGGCTTGCAGGCTGGCTGGGGAGTTGGAAATCCACATATTAAAGCTGCTAAGGTTGAGAAACACTGGTCTTAAAAATCTATGAAGGCATAACTTTTACTAGTTTTTCATGTTAATATTAATGGTAATTTGTGTTTTTATTTTTTGGAATTGTTAAAAAATGATAGATGCTTTGGATATTGTTGGGGTAGAAAGATGGAACATAAATCAAACAATGTTTCACCAACTGTAATGGCTAGTTTTTACACGCTAAATCAAAAACAAATAAGATACGTTATAGTTTAGCAGGGTTGGTACTACATCTTAACAAGCAGTCCACGGCTTACATAGCTTAAAATTAAAAAAAACTAATCCTTGTTTGTAAGCTATCACAGATCATTGCCTCTTTGGATGAAACTCAAAGACTTTGTTTCAACAGGAGGATCAAGCGCTATGCAGAGTTTTGTGTTTATTTCACAAAAGTTCAGCTGCCACAAATTCCAAGGTTTGTTTTTTTTTTTAGCATTTGTCTTACTTGTTGAGGAGTCTGCTGGATTGCTCTGTGCTTGCCTACTTCACAGAGCAAAGGCATCAAAGCATGATGCAATGAGAGGTTAGTTCTTCAAGCAGGCTAATCTGCGAACTTGATGCTGTTTGGGAGCTGAGAAATAAGAGATTGAGCCAAGACTGGGGCAAGGTCACCCAGCTGTCTTCTATGCCTAACAGAGAATCAGAATCTTGGGCTCCCTACTGCTAGTCCAGCATTTAATTCCAGCATCAAACCCCCATAACTGCAGCATTTTGGCACTCATTCTCAAAAAAAAAAATGCAGTTGCTTTAAATTCGTGCAGAAATGTGTAACATTTCTATCATATGTAATCCACAGCAACTTTTTGGAACAGAATTGGAAGCACTGACCTGCCTTTTCTTCAACTGCCATGCCTTGGGAGGGAGACTGAAACTCAAAGCTCATTAACATATTAAATTGCTTAGTATATTTGAATGTAACCTCTGGTAACTGCCATGGGTGACATTCCCATATACTTCCACACAAACTATTGTTTGTTGCCATTTACTATTATCTACTCATTCCTTTGGGTTAAATGTGGAGAAATGCATGCCTGTAACACAGACTTTACTGTATTCTGTAAAGGACATGTTGTCTCCAATAGATACCACCAAAGTACAGATCTGTTTAAGAGTAAAGAAAGATCATCTGACTGTTTTGCATACAAGAGTCACTGGAAAAATTTTTCCTGTGTAAGCCCTGAGTGAGAACTCACTAAAACTGAATTAATAAAAATGACACTGTCAAAAGGAAGAAAGAAATGTAGCAATAGCAAGAGGTAAGCATCGCCTTCTCTAGCTAGCGAGATGGAATTCAACACTATTATTTTTTTAAAAAAATAAACCACCTCTCCCTCTGCACCGTAGCCAAGGCTTGACAATCAACTCCACCCACCCACAATAAAAACAGAGCGAATGGAAAACCAAAAGAAGAAAAATCTAACCCGGAATTATGCCATTCTTGTGGAACTGAGGAGGACTCCACACAGACCTCAAGATGGAAAATCATTTTCATGTGCCCATTTCCTTCTCCTCCTCTCTCAGTAATTATTCCGAGCCAGGAGTGGTAGTGGTGGGAGGGTCAGAAGGGTAAGAGAAGAGGAAAAGGAGTGGTGTCTCCAGGAAGGATAGGAAGGGCTGCAGGATGTTAATGAGGCTGTAGGAAGCAGGGAGCAAACTCAGGGTCATGGCTTTCCCCTAATATGGTTGTGAAATCACTTGAAGCCTTCATTCTTCATGCAGCCAGGATAAATAACCAAATGCTATCACCACACACACACACACACACACTCCCTCATTATTCCAGCCCTCTCTCACAGATTTTAGGACATTACGAATATTCCTAGATCAGCGCTCTGCCCTCAAACATCTAAGCAGATGTATTTCATGGCTGCTAAACAAAAAGGTAAAAGAGCTAAGATTCCCATTTATTTTCACCTCTTGCATAACAAGCTCATTGATCTCACAATCCAACAAGCAGAAAGCTTCACACCAGCCACCATGATCAACTGGCAAATCTGTTTCCTGCCAATCAGCCTGGGAAGGTAAGATTTTTGCCAGGGACATTAACTTGTTACTGCATTCAGTTTGTTCAGCTCCGCGGTCCTAAAGCATTGGGGAAAGGTCCATAACACAAATTTACAAAAAGCAAAGTTTCAGTCTTTTCAGTATTAGTCCTCTTGCACCCTATCCCTTTCCACAACCCATCCCATCCCCTTTCAGGAACAATCTCTCCCTGTTTTGGGATTCAGGAACAATATCCTCTCCCGGTTCCTTATTTTCTTAAGGATAAGAAGAAATACCGTTACTGCCAACTATTTCAGAAATTCCACAAAATGTTGGATGCTACTCTTTTCTGTAAAGATGAGGAATGAAATGTTGAAAAACTTTCAGTAAACAGGAAACCACACATTGTTTATTGTAATATATTTTATAATGTCCAATTCACAGGCTAAGGAGAAGAAACAGATCCAGAGAAATTGCTTGGCTAAGTTTTTTTTTTTTCCTTTAAAGTTTTCCACAAAGGAAGCCTAACAACTCATATGCAACAGCCATAAAAAAAAACAACCCCTCTGTGCCTTCCAAATCAACATGATGTTCATCTCAAAACTGCTCAATGCGATGATTACAACACACCCATTCCCAGGAGGTCAGAATGGGAAAGAGAAGAAGTTAAAGAAAAAAGATTGCACAAAGGCAACTTCTTAGGTCTTGCCTAGAAAGGATGGTAGGTTCTGGGACAGACAAAACAAGTTATTTTCCTACCCAGGAGCAGTGGGGCTCTTCCTAGTTATAAATGTTATCTGCTCTATGGATATGGATATTTTATGAACACAATACTACCACGAGGGAATATCGCAATACTTTTTCTGCCAGAATAAGCCTTCAATGTGTTTTAATAGACTTTTTCTACAGAATTCGCTTTCTTTCTCTCTCTTTCTCTCTCTCTCTCTCTTTCCTCTTTCTCTTTCCTCTTTCTCTTCTCTTTCCTTTCTATCTTTCCTCTCTCTTTTCTCAATCTTTTTTCTCTTTCCCCATTTTCTCTCTTTCCTCTCCCCCTCTTTCTCTCTTTCCTCTCCTTCTCTCCCTTTCCTCTCTTTTTCTCTTTCCTCTCCCTTTCTCTTTCTCTTTCCTCTCTCTTTCCTCTTTCCTCGCTTCTCTTTCTTTCTCTTTCCTCTTTCCTCTCTTTCTGTCTCTTTCCTCTCTTCCTTTCTCTTTCCTCTAACTTTCTCTCTCTTTCCTCTCTCTTTCTCTCTCTCTTTCCTCTTTCTCTTTCCTCTCTCTTCTCTTTCTCTTTCTCTCTTTCCTCTAACTTTCTCTCTCTTTCCCTGTCTCTTTCCTCTCTCTTCCTTTCTCTTTCCTCTAACTTTCTCTCTCTCTCTTTCCTCTCTCTCTCTCTCTTTCCTCTCTTTCTCTTTCCTCTTTCTCTCTTTCCTAACGAAAGAATTCTGTGTTACCGAGAAAGCTCGCCTAGCTCTTTTTCAGTAAAAAATTGGAAACTGATCAAGCCCCGTGGCTTGTTCTGCCCACATTTTTTTCCCTGGGGGGAAAAGGAGAGAACCGGCGTCCGCCGCTTTCAGCAAAGCGGGCTTTGGAGGGAGGATCTCGCTTTCGTTCTCGACCCTTCTGAAAGCCGCCGGCGCAAAATCGACCCAAGTCACTCGTGTTCAAACCGCCTGACCTCTCCCCAAAAGAGAGGAAAAAAAGCAGCAGGCCTTAAAAAAAAGGGGCGCCGTAGCGAGGAAGTTCAGGTATCAGCCCTCCTTTAGGAAAGGAAAAGCTGGGGAAAGCCCCGCGGACATCTACAACCCGAGACTAGCTCGAAGCCGAAAGGTAGCGGATTGCCCGACCGCTCCACTTGACCGGACACGCCTTCCAGACAGTCTACAGTGCCAGGGGTAGGCAAGCTTGGCTCTTTTATGACTCGTGGACTTCAACTCCCAGAATTCCTGAGCCAGCTGCGCTGGCTCAGGAATTCTGGGAGTTGAAGTCCACGAGTCATAAAAGAGCCAAGCTTGCCTACCCCTGGTTCTACACAACCGGAATCCGCGGTCACAAAAAGCCTCCAGGGAGCGACACCTTACCGTCATGCTGCCGTCTAAAGCGAACGGCTGTCAATCCTCCCGGGACGGTTTTCGTTACCAGCCTCCCCAAGCGACGCTAAAGTCACTGCCGAGAGCAGCGGCATCAATGGCCATTGCTCGCCTTCCGCTCGCTCGCCTTCGAACTCGCCTAACTTCTCCGATCCGCCCAGGAGAAACTTTTTTTTTTTTTTCCTCTTTTCCCTCAAAACTTCCTGGGAGGCTCTTCCCTGCCAATAAGAACGTATCGAATTGCAACGTTCGTGAGGCGCTATTACCAAGCAGCCAATGAGGAAGCCGGAGCGAAGATGGGGCGGAGCCTAGCTGCCCCAAAGCAAGAGCAACCAATGGGGGAGGCGGGCGCGAGAGACTAAAGCGGCGAGGGAACAGCGAGCCGTCAGAGTTCGGCGAGAGGCGCCGCGCCCGACGGGGACCCTGCGCCGGGCTGCGCCTGTCAACCCGAGCAAAGAAGAGGTTGGCTGATGAAAACGAGTAAAAAAGAGCCTTATCGTCTTATGGAAAGCCTTGAGGCGCGAATGCCGAACTACAACCCGACGCAAAGGCTTGCGCCTTCCTCCTTTTTACCATCCTTCCAGATTCCCGCGCGTATTTCCTCCCCTGCCTTTCTCTAATCCTGGGAATTACTGGGAAGGAGGGCGAAGTCTGGTTGCAATTTAAGAAAGGTGGGGGGGGGGAAGCACCCTTCCCTCAGCCTTCTTTGGTGGCATTCTTTCTAATTTGATGTTAATTTGTAAAGAAGCCCGAGGGGAAACCGAAGTAGGATAAAAAAAAAGGCGTTTTGTGGAATTCATCATGATGGTTTACATATAAACTCCGGCTTGCACAAACGGGAAGTCCAATAACCTGATAACTTTAGCCTTTACATTGATGGGGGGGAGGGGGAAGAATCTATGGCTCATATTTCTGCACAAAGGCTGACAAGATCAGACAAATGTATTTTGCTCTGAAGTATGCAATGCTGTAAAAATGAGCATTTACATTTCTGCTTTTGCCTGAAAACAGAAAAAGTTACAGTTTCTATCATGCAATCCTAGAGGTATAATGAAAAACACTAATAATTTAAGTGAGGGAAACCCCATGAGAGCAAGAATTGTGCCAATGACATTTCCGAAGTCAAAATGGAATGACAGGTTCAAGACCAACAACAGTTTTTAAGTATCGACCTTTTAAAAACAATCTGACTGCATTTCATTTCTTTTATATTCATAATTCTCAGCTCCCTATTTGTGCCACCAGTCCCAGATTAGAATACCTCTATAATCAAGTGAGCTGTTTCCATTCACAAAAGCTTGGGACCAAAAAATCAAAATGTTATCTTTAAAATGCCAAGGTAATGACATCAGCAAATTGAGATGACTACTCTCTGGAAACTTAAAAAAACAGAAAACCCATTATCCATATCAACCCAATAAAGGTTAAAACGTTTGTAACTTACAAACTTTATAAAATCTAAAGATAAGAGAAATAGTTGGGCTGACAAAACCATTAAATTGCTTACAAATGAGTAAATACAACATTCTAAAATAAATTTAGGTTTTGTCACTCCCTGCACCAGGAGCCTATTTTCCATAGCTTCTGTATGCAGTAGAGCATTTTGACCCTTAATGTGACTGAGTACAAGTAGCCCTCAATGTATGACCAAAATTGGGATCAGAATTATCATTGCTAAGCAAGATGGCTTCTAAGTGAATGCCTCTCAATTTTATTACCTTTTTTGCCATGGTGGTGAAGGAAATAACTCCAATTACATGAATCACATGGTTAAGCAAATCTGGCTTCCCCCATTTTCTTTGCTTGTCAGAAGCCAGCTGGGAAAGTCTCAAAAGACAATCACATGTCCCCAGGATGCTGCAACCATTGTAAATGTGAGGACTGGTAATGTCTTTTTTTTTTTTAAGTGCCATAGGAACTTTGAACAATTGTTAAACAAATGGTTGTAAATCAAGGGCTAGCTGTATTCAAGTTTCACAAAGACTGTGGACACATAGCCCCACCTTGAATTTCCTCAGGGAGGCTGCCTCAAAGATGACCTTTCCCAGTGGTGGGATTCAAATATGTGAACAACCGGTTCTCTGTGTGGATGCCACTTCCGGAAGTCCATTCTGGGCCTGGGCAACAAAAACTTAGCTATCGGTTCTGCTGAAGTGGTGCGAACTGGCTGAATCCCACCACTGACCTTTCAACATAGTTCATCTACCCAGCTTTGAGTCAGGGGAACTAGGCTGCCATAAATTTGATGTCTCTGCTGCTGATCCCTATCCTGATTCTATTTCAGGGCACAGTAGTCTCTCCATTTGCCTGTCAACACTGACAAAGCCTAAGAGATTTCAGATGTCTTGAGGCTGCCTGTGGTTAATGCCAGAATGAGGGGAAAAATACTACTTCAGTAATAGTAATTACTTTCCTTAATAGTAATTAAGGAAAATTTAGGACTCCTGCATGGATTGAGGATGAGATGAAGGCAATGCTATGTTTGGACCATACATAGATGCCAAGGGTAGAAAGGTTCCAATGAATAGACTGAATAAAAGCATGAAAACACACAGGAAACGGTTAGTTAACATTGAACACACTCTTTTCCAAATGATCTTCTCTTTTATCATTAAAAATAATGGTAAGAATTTGCTAGTTAGGGAGAGATTGCCTTTATATAGCTATAGGGCTGGGCAGTTAAAGCATAAAGCAAATTTAATAATATAAATACATCCCACAGAGAAATCTGAATTACTGTTCATTGTTTTTTCTTAAATGGGGCTCTGTCTGGCACCAAATGAAAAGCTTACAGCTTCAGAAAATGCACACTTCACTTCACATTTTACTAGCACTAGCTGAACTTGTAATGACATGATCTCTGGAAAAGCCCGAAGAAATATGTAGCATCACCATCAATGGTTCATTCAACCAGGACACAATAGGCCCTAACTCTGCTTTCCGGAAACTCAAATGACTCTGCAACCTAAGAACCAATTAAATATATAAAGTAAGAGAAAAAATCATTTTCAAGCACGCACAGTTGGAAACGAAAGTACTTGCTTACTGTACAGCCCAGCAGCTGAAAACACTTGTTTTTTTTTGTTTGAGAAAATCTATTGGTGTCCACTGGAAAAAAAATTGATGAGAAGGTTTGCTGCTAGCAAGAAAAATGCAGGATGATGGGAAGAGAACCCTCTGTCAATGATACCCATTGAGAAAACCACCCCAGCATGCCATCTCCTAAACAGGGTGCCAAGCAGCTGCTTCTGTCTCCCATCTGTCAACCTTGCTCAGTATTACATCTGTTGTAGCAAATCACTAAATTGCTTCCATCTTCAGTTAAAATTACATGACTGTACTTAAGAAATTGCCAGCTTTTCCCTGTTGGATATTTGTAAGTTGTCTAATATAAGACCATTTATTTCTTAGAAGGAACAGAAATTATTGGCAAAGGTACTTCAACATTTTCTATTCACAAAATACGAATTTTTCCTTTTGAACATTCAGATTAAAATGCAATAATACGGGGTGAATTGCTTTATGAAGAAAAATGAGTCTACTACCTTATCTATATTGCCCAACTCATTTGTATGTATCTACTATTTATTACAATATGCCAGGAGAACTTGAAAAACCAACAGTTTTCTTGGGTAGCCATGGAGCATGACATCCAGGGCAGCTCTCTACCAGCTATACCAAATACTTTTCTCCATTCCACTCCCCCCCCCCCCCAGAAATCATGCAATTCAGAATACTTAGATCAGGGGCCGGATGTGTCATGGCGAAACTGCGCCCACCCCATTGCTGGCAATGGGAAAAAAGTCGCAATACATCACAACACGTCACATGACGTGGCGAGTTTGACACCCCTGACTTAGATGGAGAAACTCTTCATAGCTGGTATCTGTAAAAATGTAAACGGAGGCCTATTTTTACTGCAAAAGATTAACTGGATAATGGATTTTGTCTTTTAAAAAATTAAAGAGATTGTATACTTACAAACTCTCCTCAAATATGTATTTATCTTGTATTACAGAATATCTCTTCCCACTAGAGAAATATTTGCATATAGCTTTAGGTCATTTCAGTGTCATTGCTTCTAAATAGGGATTAATGGTTCTTTCAGGCTATTTACTTTGCTGCTGCCTCCCTTAAGGGTGTAACATGCTCAACAGTAGAGGCAGTGTCTGGAAGAGCAGATATACAGGTGCTAAGCTGGCCTAAAGCATGCAGGCAGATTCGTATCATTCACTTGCAGCTGCAATTCAAGCAGAGGCTTGCTCTAAAGATTGGGGGGGGGGGCAGGGATTGATGCAATGTCTACAGAAGAGGCCAGCTGGCCAGCCATCCCCACCTGAACAATAAATAATAGTCCCCAATGTTGTCTACATGCCCCTGCTATTCACGCACTACTTTTTAAATCAGGTTTTTCAAGTCCAGATTCAACACTGCACTGTTCCTGGACCCATACATTCAGGCCAATTGGCAAGGGAGACCATTCTCAGTCTTACATCCAAATATTAGGGGGACTGGAATTTTTTAAACTTAAAGGAACTAATATTTTTTAGCTCTGTGCATTTCATTTACTTGCAACCTACGACCATCTATTTGAAAACATCAAAATCTTTAGTGGGCTTGCATCAGTAGTATATTTTCCACGGCGAGATACAATAAGTCTTCATTTCAAGCCCCAACTCCTGATTTCATAGGTACTTCCATGTTTTCTTGATCACAATTCAGAAATGCATTTTTACAAACTATTTAAGCTTGCCACCCCTAGTATTTCCTAGTGGTCTCTAAGTCTGCTATCAGTTTGGATATCAGTTGTGCTTGGCTGATCTCAGTACTACCAGTCCCTTAAGAAGAATTGCTCAGGGACAGAGTACCAATTTTAAAAGTATGAGGCACACAGCCAGTGACCCCTCCTGCAAAAAACATCTAGTGAAAAAAGATGGGAAACTCCTCTGAAGAGCAATTCTCATCAGAATAGTATTTAACAAAATAGATCAGCAGACTGATCAGATATAAGGCAGTTGCCTGTATTCCTAGGAGAAGAAACAAATCTGCTTTTCAGATTCTTATAATTACAGTATTTATCCAAGATATATTAACAAGTATCTGGAGATGCTAAGGATTGAATTTGCACCGAGTATGCACAGAAGACTT